AACGATATAAATTGTAGATATCCAAATATAAATGATAAACATTGGAATGACATTTGTAAGAAAAAAAGGTAATAAAAGACAAGTAACAAGAGGAAGTGTTATCACAATAATAATTAATGAAATATAATAAATAATCGAACAGAAACTACCTTGTTTATAACCACTTTTAATAATTTCTCGATATCCTTCCATATAAATAACATAAATACAATTTAATGTTGTTGAAGAATAAGATACAAAAACATAATTGTATAAACGATAACCAAATGCATTATAACAATTCCATGTTGTTGCTACGGATGATGATTGAAGACATGAAGATTGAATAATGCAATACCATATAGAATGACCGAATATTAATAAACAATTGATTGCTTCGAAATAACTAATAGAAATCATATTACGAAGTTTAACTAAACGAGTTTTATCGACAGTTAAACTTGTATTACTATTAATACTTAAAGATGTTGGATATTGTTGAAATATTCTTATTAAACCAGCAATTTCGAGTGTTGTGAAGCAAGTTTTGTATTGAAAATAATTCCAGATACGTTGAAGAAATTGTACAAAAATTAATTGAAGAACGACAATCCAATATGGTTGAATATTAATATTACCAGCAGGAAATGTACCTAATACTGGATTGATAGATAATGTTGAACTATTATAACTATTACTCATTTAAATGATTTATTTGTTTCAAACTAGAATTAATAACAAAGATTTTCTGTTATTGAATATTAATTTATTTCTTTATTTAGATTTTTTTATTAAGAAGAAAGATTAATCGTTGTTTTTGATAAAAAAATAGAAGACATAGAAAATGTATGTCAAAGAAATTATAAATATTACGACACTAACACTCCAATACAAAAGAAAAAAAAGTGCAAACATTCTCGTTCATTCATTCAAAAAACACGTCACTTTTTTCTCTCCCATTGCGTATTCCGACAGAACGAACAATATCCATTATTCTATTTCATCATTTTACACTACTCTGCTCGACTACTCAGTATTTTACCTTTGTCTCTCTCTCTGTAATGCCATTTTTGTTTACTTACGTTTTATTTTCTACTATAGAATGCCTCCAGAAATAACAATTTAACTCAAGATGAAAGTGTTCCATTAGTTTTATTTGATTTTATTTATGATGATAACGAAAATTGTCATATTGATTAAATAAATAAAAAAGATTTTTACTAAGTTTGCATTTTGAATGTCATCTAAATGTATTAATCTTCTCATTATGTATAGAATACACAAATATTTGTTAGAAGAGAAAGGAAATATGATAAGTTTTCTAAGAAAGTTTAATAATTCATCGAGAAAATAGAAGGAATGAAGAAAAATAAGTGTTTCAAATATTTTATCACATTGGATAGCAAAAAATAAACGTAGATGTATATTGCTGGAAAAAATAGAAATACTAACGAAGTTTTACTATTATTCTAACTTTTCTTAATGCATTAAGAGAAAAAAATAACCACAAAGAATATCTCTCTCATGAATGTGTGCTTGAATTAGCTCGTTTAGTTAATATGATATCATAGAAGAGTTTATTGATTAAAAATAACTATGTTAGAAGATGAAGATAATAACTAACTTTAATAGTTATTTATACTCATTAATATTACAAACACTTCTACTTTAGTAACAAATGAACTTTGCGTTAAAATGAAAGGAAAAACGAAAGAATCAAGACGCAATTTTTTTTCAAATTCTCAAAAAATTAATAACTTTATTCACATCTCTATTGTATATTTGTTTTTGTATAACATATTCGAGGATTTCCTACATTTCTCTTTCTCTTCTTGGTCTGTACTAATACAACCAATGAGCAGTTTTCTTTCTCTTCTGTTTTACTATTCGGTCTTATAGTCTTCATCTTACAATTCATTGTTTTAGTTAGGAGCCTGAGTGTAGTTGCCGGTATGTAGGTATCGGTGTGGATTTGGATGAGGAGGATGAATGAAATGAGTATTCTTGTTCACACTCGCCGTACTCACTCACACCCACACCCATTATTCATCCGGGATTAAAAATACACGTTAACGTTATTTTGTGAGGGATCGTATTAAATATACAATGTTTTTGAATCACAATGCCTTTCTGTTTATTTTTTGAAAATACTAAAAAATGAGCACTAACAATGAACAAAATGTTAATGTTTATTTATGGTCACACAAACCATTTGATTTGAGATTAGTAATAACAACCTTCAGTTCATCAGATCACATGATGGTAACAAGAGCCGTTTCTACTGATCCAATTGATAACGTCCCCAGCCAAAAGCTGATGGTATAGACTTGTCCTGCTGTGGCCATGAACGACTGGCTGACTTCATCTGCAACTGAATTACATCCATCACAATATTCATAGCTGCCAGTATGAGCAAATGTGTTACAGACTGTACCTTGTGGTGATGAGAATAGACAAGACCCACTTGGTAATGTTACCACCCATGGTGAGAGGCTGCCTGATTCAAAGCCTCCATTGATCAACATTTGAGTACCTCCGTCATAAATCGACACATCATCGAGATACCAAATACTAGGATCGTTACGAAGCTGAAAGGCAAGTGTAACTATACTTGTATTGGGTGCTGTCCACTCGTAAGCATAACAGATATATCTAGTACTGTTAGCTGATACAATTGACAAGATAGTGGATGAAGAGCCGATATTGGTTGGTGCACATGGTGCCAGTGAAGTGGTTGCTGTTCAATTAAAGTTCATGATAAAGATAATGTTAAGATTTTCGTAAGAGATGAAATACCCAAATATGACAAGAAAAAATCTTCAAGTTTAGTTTTTCAAAATGCAATTTTTCACAGAGAACTAATCCTGGAATTAATGTAGTCAGAAGACGAGATTGTGTACACAAAATTTCATACTATATTTCTAAGACTCGATATACATAGAGGCTAGGGATGCAACAGTGACAAACCGTCATCGTCGCATCCCTAATAGAGGCGCATAGCTTCCTGGCTTTGCTTTGCTCCCTAGTGATCGTGCTTGAGAATAAGAAACTGAGAATAACATATTCTGTTAACACTAACACTCATATGATACGCTTGAAGAGCGAAATACTCACTTGTCGTAGTACTTGTTGTAGTTGATGTCGTTGTCGATGTAGTAGTAGTTGTTGATGTTGTTGTTGCAGATGTTGAAGTCGTGGATGCAATACCTACAATTATTAATGGTGACATGTAATTACACGCTCTCAACAATGGTGAGTATACTCATGAGGAAAGGTCATCAACTGCCCAATCGCTATTGAGTTGATGTTTTGGCTATAGGTAGAGGACCACTAGATTAAAATAATCCTAAGAGGATTTGGGCTGTTAGACCTTTATAATCAAATATTTCGGCAAAAAAAGACTTTTTTTGACTGAAGTTTTTGGAACATTCTAGTGATGACTACACCTATCTGTGGGGAAAATTTCAAATCGAAACTCCATTATTTGATTTTTTGCTCAATATCGAATAAATGATTGACCATGCAGTGAACAGCTCAGAACTCAACTCAAAAGCGATGATAGTGGGAAAATTCGTCATAAATATCACTACAATATAGCGAAAAGTTATTCGAAGAGGAGAAAAACAAAAAGCTTTCAGTTTATTCTTTAGCAAACAATTAAAATAGTACAAATAAAGGGTGGCAATTCTGTTTTTTTCTATTGAGATGATCAAAATCAATGTGTGCACCAAAAAAGAAATAGTAATTGAAAGCAGTCATGCGGATTCCGATCAACATCAGTGATTTGCTTCATCTTAACAACAGATGTAGAATGAAATTAATATTTACTTGAGCAAAAGAAAATTCAATTATTTTTCACAGTTAAAAATTTTGCCATACAATTTTGAATTTTTTCATAGGCACATTCTAACGAAGTCTTTTATTAGGTCAATATTTTGTCTTTGTCCTAACAGATATATGTTTATTCACTTTTTTTCTGAACTTTTGCTATTCCAAAACGTATCACGTAATAAAATATTTCCTTGTTTTTCGAACAGAAAGATAAACAATAGTTCGATTCACTTACCCGTGCTTGTTGTAGTTGTCATTGCAGGAGACTTGTGTACTATACTCAATTGACTAGAATAATTAATATCGAATGTGAAAAATATACGCACATAATATGGCAAGTATGACAGCAAGTGCAGATAAAAGAAGCAAGGTACCAAGTAGGCAACAAAACCAAAACCATGGAAAACTTGCGCGTTTCCTTCTAGATAGAAAGATTACAAGAATATTCGTTTCCTTATATATTCAAATGATAAACCCGAAGATAAATAATAGAAAAAAGTTTTAAAATGATAGTATATTTTTCGTTACGACAAGATACCATAATGAGATGACTTGATATTTTCACAGACTTTTTAAAATGAAACAGTCAATCCGGAAGTAAAGAGTAGAACATTCTCGAATGCAAATTAGATTAGAAATAAATAAATCTCTCATCTATCGCATGATCTAAAAGTCAACTCAAACAGATATGAACAGTTGCTAATTGACTTACTTTTTTCGTTTTTTATTCTCGTCAGATGGTCGATCAAATAGGTTCGAATAGTTGAGGGTTAACGATGGTGAGATATTGTTACTTTTATCCGCCGTATCTATCCAACTTCTGCTTGACTAAAATATAAACACAATTTATCAAGGCTATTTCATATCTGTCAACAAACTGACTTGTGTGGCTCGAGTAGTAGCATTCCGAGATAGATCAGTCGATAGGGAACCTGATTGATCTAGTGGCATTACGCGACGATGGTATTGTGTTGATTGAATATTTCTTCGATCTATCCGTTTGATAGGAAGCCAAGAAGAAGTTGATGAGATACGAGATGGCATTATGTCTGATGTGGATTCAAAATCAGTATTAGTGACATGATGAGCCGATTGAGAATCACTTTGATTCAATCGCTGAGGAGCTGGTGGTATTCGACGTACTTTTACGATCGGTCGAGAACGAACACTAGTGGTACGATGAACTGATGATAGTTGACTTTTACTCAACCGTCTGACACGAGCTCGATAAGAAACTGATGAGATCCGTGATGTCTCCATACGGTTACCTTCTGTTTGAAAGAGAATGAAATGAATGGACAATTCATCATTATTTTCTCTGTTTGATCTTCACCCAACTACATATATCAGTCAAAAGGTTTCCTTTCATATCCCACTGTCGATAAAAACAATGATTGATTTTTTGTTTGTTTGATTGGAAAACGAAATGAAGAGACCAAAGTACACAGTACAAAACATTCTTACTGTACAGAACGTGTTCTCAGCCCATTTCATTAACAACATTCGAAATATGACGGCTAAAATAGATTTATTTTCAACGAGTTTGGTTTTCGAAAATTTTCTCAATACAGACATGAGAGTGTGGGGGTGGGGCTATAGGTGTCTCTTCTTCTCTATCATCTTCACCCACACCTTCAAGATTTTTATATGAAAGCAAGTTTTTTTTATTATTATTGATATTTATTAGCATTTGAATCCGACATAATATGAATAATGGAACTAAATTTAAATTTGTGCCGTACCACCATCAACAAAAAGTTCAATTCCCGTAATATAACTACTGTCCTCGTTCGATGCAAGAAAAAGGGCAGCCTTAGCCACCTCTTCAGGTTCTCCAATGCGACCCATGACCGGTTTAGATTTGACAAAATTCTTGATTTCTTCCGTTTGTCCTCTGATGGCTGGAGTATTAACAGGGCCTGGACTGAGAGTATTCACGCGAATCTTGCGATCCTTCAGATCGATACACCAACTACGAGCGAATGACCGTAGAGCTGTCTTTGTTGCACTATAGACACTAAAAGCTGGTGCTGCTTTGCAACCGGCAACTGATCCAAGGATAATGATTGAACCACCATCGGTAAAAATCGGCAATGCTGCTTGAACATTGAATAGAACTCCTTTGACGTTTGTATTGAACGTTTCATCGAAATGTTGCTCGGTAATCGAACCCAGCGGAACAAATTCAGCAAGAGCTGCATTAGCAACTAGAATGTCCAAGTGACCTTTGTCTTGTTTAATCTGTTCATATATTGTGCCAATATCGGCCATGATGGAACAATCCGCTTGTATTGCAGTTAATTTCCCGTTTATATTGATATTTTTGATAGCTTCATCAAGTGCTGATTGTCGTCGTCCGGTAATAAACACATGAGCCCCTTCGGCAACAAATAGTTCGGCTATCGAGAATCCAATGCCATCAGATCCACCAATGATGAGAGCCACTTTGCCGTCAAGCTTGCCCATTTTTCTATTGTAATCGTAAATCGACTTTTGTTCGTTTTTTAAAGATACACCAACGTAATCTGAAAAGCAGAAAAAGTGGCCTCAATTCAAGCTGTACGAGTTCTATCACATGATCCGTTTAGTTTTCATAGAAAAGAATCGCTTAGATACTCAAAAAACAATCAAAGGGCAATTCTTCGAAGATTCTTAATTGTAAATCAGGGTGTGGGTGTGAGTCATATACATATATACCTACACGCTAAAATAATGACGACAACGTTTGCTTTCCAAAAGTACATAGAATTGTTCGAGAACAAAATATCTTACTAATATTGAAAATGTATTGAGTAACTGACCGAAATCATTTCTTTTTATAGTTATTTTTACAGGCGGCATGATATGATTTATAACGTACTTTTGTGTCTTACCTCCGAAGTGCAAAGCATGAAAATTATAAAAGTACTTGTCCTTGGCGGCACAGCAGGAAATAGAAAGTGCGTTGTAAAAAGATCAATTATATTTTTCTCGTTCGCTCACCCATTCATTACCTCTATAATAGTAATGTTAATCATTTTTCTTTCACGTTATTCGTGCGCTTAATCGTCGAATTTTTTATCAACAGAATGGAAATTAAAAAAGTATTTTATTAAAGTAATAGAGGTTGTTATGAATCATTCAAGAACCTAAATGGAGTACATGATTAGAGAATTTGTATTCTTATAAAAAACTTTCGATATTTGCGTGTCGGATTGAGGGTGGGTGTGGTTATACTAAGATATATCCACATTCACAGTCACAGGCACAAATTGAAAAGTGAAAATGAAAAAGAAGTATTAGTACATTAAAATGATAGTTTCTATATTTAAGATTATTTATTTTATACGTTAACTTTATATGAAAATATAGTTTTATTTAATAAATGAAAATAATGATATTCATCAATATGAACAATAAGAAAAATTATTGTTCAACATTTATTCCAAAATTATCTTCAAAAAAGCCCTCGAAAAGGAAGAAATAGGAATACAAGTAAATGGACACTATATCAATAACATTAGATATGCCGATGATACAGTATACTAATAGCAGGAACTGAAAAAGATTTACAACATATGGTCAATCGAATACGCACTGAAAGTGAACTAATTGGCCTTAAGATCAACAAATCAAAAACCAAAATTATGAAAATCAGTAAAAAACCCAACATCATCAACATCAGATTGGATGACATAAGATTGGAGCAAGTGAAGAACTGCAAATATCTAGGAACATTAATAAACGAAAACCTAGATACAGAAATAGAAATCAAATCAAGAATAGAACAAGCCAGACAAAGTTTTATGAAATAGAAAAACTAATTATGTCACAGAAGCTTGAATATAAATACTAGAATTAGAACTCTAAAATTTTATATTTGGTCAATACTTCCGTACGGTGTCGAAATGTGATTCTACCGCAGAATGCTCAAAATTTCCTGGAGCAAAAAGGTTTCAAATTTACAAGTCTTACTAACAATAAATAAAGAACGTGAATTATTAACAACTATTATGAATAGAAAAAGTCGATACCTCGGTCATATTATTACAAATATCAACTACTACAATTAATACCTGAAGGTAAAATAGCAGGAAAAAGAAGACCCGGTCGAAGAGCAATATCATGGCTGAAGAACATCTCACAATGGACCAATGCATCGACTGAAAAACTATTGTACAGTGCTTTAGACAGAAATGCTTTTAAAAAACTGATCGCAAACATTCAGTAATGAATATGCACACGAAGAAGAAGAAGATTGCTTTACTTATAAATAAAAACATAAATCAGAAAGATTAAACAACTTTTTCTTTTTTCATTAGCATTTTCGATTGGAACATAAGAAGTTTTTTCTACTTGGAATTTTCACAAGTGTAAATAAGTTCTTATCGTAGAAATATTTCAACATAAAAAAAGCAAATCTTTCTTCTTTTCTTAGAGTTTTATTAATTGTACAACTGATCTTTGCTATGCTGGTAAGTTTAACTTATTCTATCAAATAGAATCGTATTTTTATATTTAAGATTTCAGTATAATTGTATATAGTGCTACTAATATATAGTTTAACAATTATACTTTGCTATATAGTAATGCTTGTGTGAACAACATCCGTATCGCAAAGTTCAATTCTATCATAGAGGGTGTGGGTGTGGGTGTGGGTGTTATCGTTTCTTTAACCATAGCCACTCCTATACACATACACACCCACACCCACACCCACACCCACACCCACACCCACACCCACACCCACACCCACACCCTCACAATCGATATCAATTATGACTACAAATGGTTTTTGAGTTTTTATTAATCAGCAGTACAAAGCTACATATTAGAAGTGTTACATTATTCAAGATTCTTTTCTGTTTGTTTGAGTATATGGATATTCTGATGTGGAGGTTATTCTTTTCTACATATCAGTTTATGTTCATATAGTTTCCAATCAATTGTTTGACATTCTTTTGAACAATAAAATGCTTGTTTACATAAACTGCAGACTTGTGAAGCATTTTCTTTTCCACAACATCGACACATATTGATAATGTATTCAGATTCATTCTGCATGATAATAGATAAAAAATCATCAACGCGAACTATCGGTATTCTGTCGCTCGGAGGTATTCGCAGATATGGATTGATAATGTTCATTTTCGCACCAATTCGAAATCTTTGACTAACTAAGGACCCACCATCATCATTAGGAAAACCATAAATACATATTTTAATACAATCAAGATGTTCATCTTCAATTATTAGATGAATGGATGGTTCCCATGAATAAGCCCGTCCAATGATTGTTACAGACAATACATATTTGTCATAAACATGATCTTTAATTGGATTCATTTCTCGTATTGTTATTGGTTTCAATCCAATCAATGATTTAGCTGAGCGTTGAGAAATTCGAGCTTCTCGACTAGTGTATACAATAGCAGAAGCTGAGTGTCTCTTTTCTCCATATAACAATGTGTTTTGCCATCTACGCTGTTCGACTATGGTTGAAATTCGATTTGGATCTCTTAATCGTGACTTATTATTATTGTCAGAAGTGGATGATTTCACATTTTGGAATGAGGCGTTTTCATTAAGTATCTGTTCGAGAAAGTTCTTACTAGTCGATTTATACGGTAAGAAGCATGGTAGTTGACCTTTTTCTGCCTCAATACCCTGCTGAAACGTTTTCTTAACATTATTTGTAATATCTTGTCGTTTCTCTTGTACAAAATAGCAGTTCGCCATTGCATAATATGCTTCAGGTACTTTTCGATGATCTTTTGGTGCATTTACAAGAAATGTTTCATATGCTTTGATAGTCTCTTTCATATCATTTCCTACGAACCGCAATGCCACCGCTCTATGATATAATAATTCATAGTTATTCGGCTCAATATCCAATCCATTATTAATACTATACAATACAGTTTCATATTGACGCAATGAACAATTTGCTATTGCATTTAATTGAAATAAATAAATTGATTTCGGATATTTCTGTTGGCATAAAGCAAGAAATTGAACGATTTCTGTTAGTGATTCCATATGTAAAACAGCATAACATATTCGAACGTCTTCGTCAAGTTTTGATGTAGCGTCAATTGATTTATTATTTGTAGAACATCGGTGAAGCACACGATCAACGATCTCTTCTGTTTTCTGACGAATTTTCGTGGTAGGGAATTGAGTAATTATACATTCGATACGAAAACAAAGAGATAATTCATGTATAAATATATTTTCTTCATCTTCAGTTAAACTTTCTATTTTTTGAATAATACTTATTGCTTTCTGGAAATGTTCTCGAGCGTCACACATTTTTCTTGCAGTAATTGAACCACGTTTAGCATGTTCACTTAAAATATCATAATCAAAAGCATGTGTTTGCTCAGTTTTTACTTCGCTTCGTTTTATAATACTTATTGAATTTCGATCTATTTCTTGTTGTTTTTCTTGTAACAATTTCTCAAATGTAATACGTTCAATTTCAGTATAAATATTACCTGCTTCACATGCTCGATTAAACCAAATTTTTGCCATTGGAAGTTCGTTACTATCGAGTAACATCTTTGCTAAACTTTGCATAGCATTTGCGCATCCATTTTTTGCTGCCATTTCAAATAATGTTTCAGCTTTATCAAGATTCTTTTCTACACCGATACCCTCGTTATATATTATACCCAAATTATTGGCTGATGGAGCATGTTCATTAGCAACAGCACGTTCATACCAATACACAGCTTCTTGTAAATTTTTATGAACAACAATACCGTTAGCATATCGTAAAGCTAAGGCATGTTCCGCTGCTGCTACGCCAGGATTTCGAAAGGTTTTTAGTTTTGGATACATTGGCGGTTGTCTAGCTGCTTGTTCATAAAGTTTTTGAGCTAAACATGGATCTTTCTTTACTCCAAGACCAAAATCAGTTAGTCGCGCTAAATTATACAATCCTTCAGCATTATTTTGACTAGCCGCTTTTGCAAAATACCTCGCAGCTACTTCATAATCTTGTTTGATACTAACATCTCCATGTTCGTATCTATGTCCTTGTGTTAAATCAGCTACGGCTGGATCGATTTGTTCAATAAAATGTAAAGGAATAAGTAGTTCTTCTAAACTTGTTCCAAATCTCTGCTGCATTTCAGTCAATCGTTCAGACATCATCATTGGTCTCATTTCTGGATTAAGATGATCATAGCACAGTTGTCTCATATATACTGAACGACTTTTATCCAATTCTATCTTGATTTCATTATTTGTCGGATCGAGTGCTAGCGCACGTTCAAATGAATTAATTGCTTTTTCATGTTCATTTAAAACGGCATATACTTTACCCACACGAAAATGTCCTTTCCACCATGAATTCCAAAGATTTCGTGCTTGTTTAGCATCTTTCAATGCACGATATCGTTCATCCATTGAATTAAGAACTTCGAATCTTTCCTTGACATCAACTTGTTGTTCATATAGTGCAAGACGACTTGAAGCCATATTAGAAAAAAAAACCGCACGATCGGAATTTGCAACACCTGATAGAACTGTTGCCTTGGTAAAAAACGTAATTGCTTCAGAATATTGACCATCTTTGTGAGCTTGAGTAGCAAGTGAATTTAAACGTAATGCTTCTTTCACATTATCTTCATTAATTACTTGACTAGATGGATCAAAAATACTATCATCTTTAAGTTTATCTATTTCAGTATCTACAACACCCAATGCAACTAGAATTGTTTTTAAATCAGTCCACAACTGATTGAATTCAGTATTATCAACAGATTTTGATCCATGATGAGCCAATTTATTTCGTATATCTTTCAATTGTTCTAGAAGTTTATCATCTTGATCGAGCTGTTGTATTTCAATTGGACTTAATGTTGTCGGGCGAGTACTAAATAAAAGAATATTTGTTAATGTACTAAGATCCCATTCACTTGATTGACCGTTTTCAACAGGTATTCTTTGTGTTGGTGTTAAATTAATCTTTTTATTCTTTTTCAAAATATTAGTAACATAATTTTGTCCACATATGTTTGTATCATTCCATAATTGTCCGCCATTAAATTGAGGAAAACGATTAAGAAATATCTGACGAACAGGATTAAATGAATGTCTCAATAATAAATCTAGTTTGAAATAATTACGAACTTCTGCAGAAATCTTAGCCATATTATTAATGTATTTACACAACCTTCATTGTTTCAGTGTGAAAATAAATGTGGTTTTTTTTCTTTCTCATGTTTTTATCTTCACTATATGAATGGGTCCAAAAATGAGAGAAAAGAAGAAAGTAAACACATGCCTTTTTCACATACACTTTAAAATATTATTTTTCTTTTCTTCTCACAACTTTGTTTCTAGTCATTTGTGTTGTATGATACATAAAATTGATTTAATAGTAGTTTATAAGAGTACAAATGCTACATTTCAAAAGAATAATGGTATGTTAATTTTGAAACAATACTTATAATCTCATATTTCTTTTCTCACTATTATATATATATATACAATAATACATATTTCAATTTTCATATCAAAAGTTTTTCTTTTGTTGATTCGAATGCAAACTTATTAAATATATACGATCGTAACGCGCTGTCCGTGAGAAGCTATTCTCCTTATAAACCAGAGAAAAAGCACAAAAGGGTATGGTGTGGGTGTTCTTTGTTTATCTACGCCTACACTCACACCCAACAAATTATTGTAGCGAAACAGGTTGCTGGCAAAGTGTACTAGTCGCCAAAACAGTCTGTCGACAAAATGGCGTCAACAAAGTGGGGTGTCGGCACAGTGTACGGGACCCAAATGCACTGTATATTATAGGTACCCGGCTTATCAATAGGTGTATGTAACCAAAACAAAAGATTATTTTTTTCAAAAATGATCAAACAAATTTACTATTTCACCATTACAATGAATAGCCAAGCACATAAATAATAGCACATATTTGTAAGTAAATAAATAATGACTAGGATCAAAATGAATATTAAAACTTTTATGTTTATCATTATTTCTTCAAAAACAAGTAATATAAAACAAATTAAATTTTATTTGAAAATGTGACATGTATTATACAATGACGTCATATATACACTAGTTTCCAGGTCGAGCAATCCAGCCCGGGAATGGTGACTTTTTCGAGGATTTTCGCCTGAGCTACTACTTCAGGAATCATTGACCTCGGGAATAACCATCGTTATTCATAACAATTTCTAAAAATAAATAGGGAAAACAAAATTTAATTTATATATTTCTTACCTTAATTGTGCGGCGAAAAGTCACCGTTATAAATTGTATACAGTGGATTATTGTAATAAGTAAACCAATCCAGCAACATTTGAAAGAATAAATTAAAATCACTAAAAGAAAAAATTATTTTTTTGAGTAATATTCAAACAAACTTACTGCTTTATAATAACGTACAGTATGTATATACAAATAAATGTACATACATATGTAGCTATTATAAGAAATACGACGAGTAGGATTTGTACGAATTTGATGAAGTTGACCATTTTTAAATCTGAAAAAAAAAAAGATACATTTATATAGATATATATTTCTCGTTCTCTACATATGCATTCATTCTTTGATTTTCCGACTATATCGAGATAATCGGAAAATAGCACTCACCCCCATTCTTTGTGCGATATCGAACATACGCCTAGGGTGTGTGTTCGGAATACAACATAAACACCCACACCCTTATCTCCTTAGTTATTGTCGTCATTTACATAAACATCTAAAAATAAATATCACAAAAGATGTTTATTTTATTCATATATGTTTTACTTTCATTGTCGTTTAATAAAAAATCTTCGTTGTGTATTATGTATTCTAGATGGGTATAGCCACAATAGGTATCGATTAATATCCAGGTCGAACAATCCGACACGGAAACGGCCGATTCCGTGGGATTCTGCGGAAGCAGTAATCGTATTGAAGAGATTTGAGGTGTGGGTG